TTTATAAATACTTGAACGCTTGAATGCAGATATTTCAAATTAAAACGTAAGTACATAAATAAATTATACATTTATAAATTAATGCAATAGGAATTTTTTGAGACAGATTGATGCTGACGCTCATGCATTTCAACCAAACAAACAATAATTAGTTCAATTTTTGACTGCGGAAATTTCATATAGGATGAAATAACTGATAACAAATTTAACTAGCAGTTTGTTAGCAACACTAAAAACCAGCTGCGCGTGCCAAACTAGTGAACAAAAGGACAGTTCGCTTCGCGTGGCACGCCTTAGCATGGGTTTAGCCTCTTCAAGCTATAATCCTATCGCCGCAACAAACAATAGGGACCTTCTGGCTGATGTATCCTGCTGTTAATTACACCTAGTTACAGCGGATTGTCACGCTCGCGCTGGGCCACAGAAACCAGCGTCATGGGGTTCACACGTATTAAGTATTGTGTTATTCCACCTAAGCTATTGTGTTTGTGCGTTCGAATTTTGAAGGGATTTATACGGCCCTCCATTGTTTGTCCGCCCCCTTCTATTCACAAGATAGGGATTAAAACATTTCGAACGTGGTTACACCGGTGTACAACGGAAACAAAATTATTCCGACCACTGTAATTACAATATACAATAAAAAGGAAATTAGTTTAGAAAGCTTACTTCGGGTCAACCATTTGCTTGTTCGAAGGAGAGATATCTTGATGTCGCGATGCGACTCCCTTTATTAAACCTTTATGTGTTTGTGTAAAAGTGTGAAAGACAGGCAACGGTCTTGAGTCGCTGTTGATATTGTTTGCAATTAATATTGAAGTATACCTCCTTCGCCTGCATGTAAACGTGTTACTTTTCCTCATGTTGACTATGTTTCTTTTAAGTGGATGAGACAAGGCGATGAGATCGATAAAAGTAGAGGTTTATCTAAGCAATTAGATGCGATTTTTGTGAAATGACTTATTAAGTAATGTGCATGTACCTAGCGTGTTTAAATTCCTGAATTTCTAATTTATTTAATTCTTATTTGTGTAATCTTTCATACACGGCCTCATATTTGTATTACTCTCAGGCCATACTCTTCGATATTATATTGTGTTACACGGGACTCCTGGAAACCTGAATCACAGGGCATTGTGAAATTTAATTCGTTACAGAGTCTTGTTATCCCTCATGTAGTTTTATAGATAGGATGAACAATGTGAAATAGAAACAGGCTTTACTTAGCTTTACTTAATTTACGACAATTTAAACAAAACTAGTCTGCAAGGCATTCTTTGATTTGGCGTTAACCTGAAACTGGTTTTAAAAGAACAAATATAAATATGTTGGATGGATTAAATCACCGACTTCATTATATTTTAACTAAATGTCTTCATTTACACAGTAACACAGATAATATTTTTAAGTTGTCTGTCGTTCAGCACGCATTATAGGCGAGTACGTAAACAATGACGATGATCAATCCACGCACAATCTAGGCAAGTATTGTTTCCCTTACGAAAATTTCCTATATGATTCTATAGGGCACCTTTCCTATAGGATTTCCTATAGGATCCTATAGGAAATTGTTGTAAGTTAAAATATTGAGAAAAATACATAACTTATAAACAAATATCATTCTAAACAATAGATATTTGATATAGGTCAATTTTATCAGTTGAATTGTCAATTATATATTACTATTAAAGCAAAAATGCTTTTTATTGTTTGTAATGCACAATCTTATAGTCTTCTATAGGATTCTATAGAAATTCTTTAATTTCTATTTTAAAGAAATCTTGAAAAATTGATCATTTGTAAAGTAATCTTTTTTGGAGAAATATTTTATCATTAGGAATGTTTTTGTACCAAATCATTGAAGCTGAAATTATTTTTTAAATTTATGTTCAGACCATTACAAAAATTCCTATAGGATCCTATAGGAAATCTTAGGCTCTATTCCCATAGATTTTAGATCGATCTATCCCCGCGGGGAGTCTCACTAGATTACTTTCAGATAATCCAACTTAAATGTCCGTCCCGCCTACTAAAAGCTGGAAGGGGGTAATTAACTTTCGTGTCCACCCGGCTGACAGCTATTTAGCGTGAACCCCCAGGGAGTTAGTTCGATCTAAAGTAGGTCGATCTAATCTATGGAAATGGGGTGTTATAGGACTTTCTATAGGAACCTATTAGAACTCCTATGCTAATTCATATAGGGGATTTTTATAAGGACGGAAGATATGAAAAATAATGAATCTGGTCTAAATATCAGTATATAATTTTAATTTTTAATATATTTTCAGACCATTACAAAAATTCCTATAGGATCCTATAGGAAATCTTATAGGAATTTCTATAGGAACCTATAGAAAATCCTATGCTAATTCATATAGTGATTTTTTATAAAGCCGGGTTGAATGAAAAATAATGAAACTGGTACTAAAATCAGTATATAATGTATTTTTACTTTTTGTGTGATCATATTCACTTCATATTTCTTCTATTATATTGAAAGTCAACCTTATCTAATCAGATTTTACCTGACCTTGGCTGTTTTAAAAAGTGAAAGTGCAATCCTGCCTTATATATAAAATATAATGTAAAAGCATAAGTGAACATTATTGGTATAGTACTGTCCCTCATAAAGGATGGGAAACGAGGACAAATTAATATGTTTATAAAGATACATTTTATTATAAACCATGCTCAATCACTTGTAAGGTTTAACAGTCAACTGATGTTAGCTAGAGAATGCCCTACTCCACCAGCCATAACCACAGATTCAACAACTGTGAATTTCTTTTGTTAGCCTGGCACCTATTATTAGGTCACTACTCCTGTAGCAGTTTAAATTCAGGAGCATAGTGGAAGGGTACAGAGTGTAGAAAAATCGGATTGAGGAAGGTATGTATTACAGTAATGCATTGGATCATTTGGGCATCTAATCAAAATGAAAATGAGATAATTATTTGACCTAATTTGTAGTTTACCTGGTAAACATCATATCTATATTGCATTAAACAAGTTATAATTTATAATGAAGAAACAAGGATACATAATGCAATCATTGCTTAGTCTCTTTATTTCCTTTAAAACTGTGATATCAATTGCTCATATTTCTTTAAATGCAGTTGAATCTAAAAAAACTTTATATTTCATTGAACTTTTGGTTTGTGATTTATTAAAAATTATCTATTTAATGTTATCCACAACTGCCTCCAAGGGACCATCATGATATATAACTGAAAAAGACCCATGCTAATAAATAACATACAATTAACATGTTAGAGAGGCTGTCAGGGCAAATTTCTTTACCTCACATGTTCTTCAGGGTCGTTTATCTGCCAAGTTTTCTTTCCCTTTAATTTCTTTTCAACCCTTAATGTAAGGTAAACACCATAGTTTGTTTAAAAATATTTTTTGCTAACCTATACATAATGGAAATGAAATGTGCATTGTGAAAAAAACTGACCATTTTGCTTACACAAAAGCTATAAATTTTAACTTGGGGGTTGCTTTTTTGTGGTTTGGACTGATGATTAAGGTCAAGCAAAGACTGGTGAGAATAGGGAATTACTGTTTACCCTCGGAAATGAGTTTTCTATGAGTTTTTGGGACTTTTTTGGGCCCTGGCAGCTCTGTAATGGCCCAATTGCATATTTAACCAGAGTAGAGTTTTCTCCACTGCTGATTTCTGCATTTTAAAATTCGTTTCTGATTGTTCCTGCGGGCTTGGTCCTATGAAATATGTTCATGTTCTTTATATATATTTTTTTTACAAATTATCCAGCTTTAATACCTTGTCTTTGAAAAAAAAATCAGCTAACTAATAAAGGCTATGAATTGCTCAAAATAGAATTGGTGCAATGATTATTATTGATCTTAGAAAAATTTTCCTTCATCATTTTGCATTTTTGTAGACATGTACAATTAATTGAAATTCACAATGTCTTTCTTTCAGAATACGTCTGCAAATGGTTCAACACAACTCAGACGGAGGTTAAGAAGGCTATCACAGTAAAGTTGAACAATGTGCAAAAGACTTTTGTCTGAAATTCTTCAATTATTAAGTGACTAAAGCAGTATGCTGACAATAGACACGGTCTGGGCAAGGGAGGTTTTAGCCACTTATTCTGGCAGGAGTTTGAACTCACACAGGAAAAAGACAGTGACGCCACAGCTTGACAAGACATATTGGATACTTGTGATAACTTATAGAACTTATAATTAAAAAGCAGTAGCAACACCATTAAATTTGCAAAAATCTATAAAACAATTCTCTAGTAAGCTGGTTGCATACAATACTGTGGAATATGTACATACATTTATACATATTGAATAAAGAATGTAAACATGATATTCTCTTTTGTTTTGAGGGACCAGTGCCTATTACCAATTTTGCCAAAGATCCAGCAATATATAAAAAGCTGTAAAAATATTAAAAGCAGTTAATATGAATTTCTATATCCTATAGGATTTCCTATAAGATTTCCTATAGGATCCTATAGGAAAATGGGACAATTTCCTATAGGATCCTATAGAAATTCCTATAGGATCCTATAGGAAATCCTATAGGAAATCTTATAAGATCCTTTTGGAAATCTTATAGGAAATCCTATAGGAAATTTTCATAAGGGTCACAAAATAGATCATGATGAATAAACTTAATTACCCTTTAATAAATACCCAACACACGGATTGGTTATTGTCACTTGAAAGCTTTCGATCAAAGACGTTTAATGAAATCACAAATCATTTGACGATTAAAAAATGGACAGGTTCAAGGGGCAGTTTTTGTTTCAGCTAGAGAGACTTCAGGTTCAGGTAGAGGGTTCAGTGTAGGTGTTTCATCGGATAATAGTAGCATCATGCCCTAGGTCTAAGCAAGTGGAATAGAAGCTTTTTATCCAAGCATCCTATTCCTAACTACTGAGTTAGCCCTTACGAAAATTTCTTATAGGATTTCCTATAAGATTTCCTATAGGATCCTATAAGATTTCCTATAGGATTTCCTATAGGATCCTATAGGAAATTGTCCCTTTTTCCTATAGGATCCTATAGGAAATCCTATAGGATCCTATAGGAAAACTTATAGGATCTTATAGGATCCTATAGGAAATCTTATAGGATCCTATAGGAAATCTTATAGGAACCTATAGAAATTCATATTAACTGCTTTGAATATTTTTACAGATTTTTATATATTGTTGGATCTTTGGCAAAATTGGAAATAGGCACTGGTCCCTCAAAACAAAAGAGAATATCATGTTTACATTCTTTATTCAATATGTATAAATGTATGTACATATTCCACAGTATGATATGCATCCAGCTTACTAGAGAATTGTTTCATAGATTTTTGCAAATTTAATGGTGTTGCTACTGCTTTTTAATTATAAGTTCTAAAAGTTATCACAAGTATCCAATATGTCTTGTCAAGCTGTGGCGTCACTGTCTTTTTCTTCTGTGAGTTCGAACTCCTGCCAGAATAAGTGGCTAAAAACTCCCTTGGCCAGACCGTGTCCATTGTCAGCATACTGCTTTAGTCACTTAATAATTGAAGAAATTCAGACAAAAGTCTTTTGCACATTGTTCAATTTTACTGTGATAAGTCTTTTGCACATTGTTCAACTTTACTGTGATAACCTTCTTAACCTCCGTCTGAGTTGCGTTGAACCATTTGAAGACGTATTCTGAAAGAAAGACATTGTGAATTTCAATTAATTGTACATGTCTACAAAAAAGCAAAATGATGAAGGAAAAATTTTCTAATGAGATCAATAATTATCATTGCACCAATTCTATTTTGAGCAATTCATAGCCTTTATTAGTTAACTGAATTTTTTTCAAAGACAAGGTATTAAAGCTGGATAATTTGTAAAAAAAATATATATATATATAAAGAACACAAACATATTTCATAGGACCAAGCCAGCAGGAACAATCAGAAACGAATTTTAAAATGCAGAAATCAGCAGTGGAGAAAACTCTACTCTGGTTAAATATGCAATTGGGCCATTACAGAGCTGCCAGGGCCCAAAAAAGTCCCAAAAACTCAAGGAAAACTCATTTCCGAGGGTAAACAGTAATTCCCTATTCTCACCAGTCTTTGCTTGACCTTAATCATCAGTCCAAACCACAAAAAAAGCAACCCCCAAATTAAATTTTATAGCTTTTATGTAAGCAAAATGGCCAGATTTTCACAATGCACATTTCATTTCCATTATGTATAGGTTAGCAAAAAATATTTCAAAACAAACTATGGTGTTTACCTTACATTAAGGGTTGAAAACAAATTAAAGGGAAAGAAAACTTGGCAAATAAACGATCCTGAAGAACATGTGAGGTAATGAAATTTGATCTGACAGCCTCCCTGACATGTTAATTGTATGTTATTTATTAGCATGGGTCCTTTTCAGTTATATATATCATGATGGTCCCTTGGAGGCAGTTGTGGATAACATTAAATAGATAATTTTTAATAAATCACAAACCAAAAGTTAAATGAAATGTAAAGTTTTTTTAGATTCAACTGCATTTAAAGAAATATGAGAAATTGATCACAGTTTTATAAGAAATAAAGAGACCAAACAATGATTGCATTATGTATCCTTGTTTCTTCATTATAAATTATAACTTGTTCAATGTAATATAGATATGTTGTTTACAAGGTAAACTACAAATTAGATCAAATAAATATCTCATTTTCAATTTGATTAGATGCCCAAATGATCCATTGCATTACTGTAATACATACCTTCCTCAATCAGATTCTTCTACACTCTGTACCCTTCCCCTATGCTCTTGAATTAAAACTGTCTTGATAGCTGTATACTCATTTGGTGCTAGTCTCATATAAACAAAGACTTAGACAGGATACCACACATCTGATAATATCTAATAGGCGGTTACTGTTACTAGTGTAACAATAGCTACAGGAGTAGTGACCTAATAATAGGTGCCAGGCTAACAAAAGAAATTCACAGTTGTTGAATCTGGTGGAGTAGGGCATTCTCTAGCTCACATCAGTTGACTGTTAAACCTAACAAGTGATTGAGCATGGTTTATAATAAAATGAGTCTTTATAAACATATTAATTTATCCTCGTTTCCCATCCTTTATGAGGGACAGTACTATACCCATGCTGTTTGCACTTATGCTTTTAGATTATATTTTATATATTAGGCAGAATTGCACTTTCACTTTTTAAAACAGCCAAGGTCAGGTAAAATCTGATTAGATAAGGTTGACTTTCAATATAATAGAAGAAATAAGTGAATATTATGATCACACAAATAGTAAAAATATATTATATACTGATATTAAGACCAGTTTCATTATTTTTCATTTAACCCGGCTTTATAAAAAATCACTGTATGAATTAGCATAGGATTTCCTATAGGTTCCTATAGAAATTTTAGAATGGTCTGAACATAAATTAAAAATTAAAATTATATAATGATATTTAGATTAGATTCATTATTTTTATTCAACCTGGCCTTATCAAAATTCCCTGAATGAATTAGNGAATTGCACTTTCACTTTTTAAAACAGCCAAGGTCAGGTAAAATCTGATTAGATAAGGTTGACTTTCAATATAATAGAAGAAATATGAAGTAAGTGAATATTATGATCACACAAAAAGTAAAAATATATTATATACTGATATTAAGACCAGTTTCATTATTTTTCATTTAACCCGGCTTTATAAAAAATCACTGTATGAATTAGCATAGGATTTCCTATCGAAATTCCTATAAGATTTCCTATAGGATCCTATAGGAATTTTAGAATGGTCTGAACATAAATTAAAAATTGAAATAATATAATGATATTTAGATTAGATTCATTATTTTTATTCAACCCGGCCTTATAAAAATTCCCTGTATGAATTAGCATAGGATTTCCTATAGGTTCCTATAGAAATTCCTATAAGATTTCCTGTAGGATCCTATAGGAATTTTTGTAATGGTCTGAACATAAATTAAAAATCAAAATCATATACTGATATTTAAACCAGATTCATTATTTTTCATTCAACCTTATAAAAATTCCTTAAACATACAAATTTATACATATTGAATAAATAATGTAAACATGATATTATCTTTTGTTTTGAGGGACCAGTGCTTATTACCAATTTTGCCAAAGATCCAACAATATATAAAAAGCTGTAAAAATATTCAAAGCAGTTAATATGAATTTCTATAGGTTCCTATAAGATTTCCTATAGGATCCTATAAGATTTCCTATAGGATCCTATAGGATTTCCTATAGGTTCCTATAAGATTTCCTATAGGATCCTATAAGATTTCCTATAGGATCTTATAGGATCCTATAGGAATTTTTTGTAATGGTCTGAACATAAATTTAAAAAATAATTTCAGCTTCAATGATTTGGTACAAAATCATTCCTAATGATAAAATATTTCTCCATAGAAAATTACTTTACAAATGATCAATTTTTCAAGATTTCTTTAAAATAAAAATTAAAGAATTTTTCTATAGAATCCTATAGAAGACTATAAGATTGTGCATTACAAACAATAAAAAGCATTTTTGCTTTAATAGTGATATATAATTGACAATTCAACTGATAAGATTGACTTATATCAAATATCTATTGTTTAGAATGATATTTTTTTATAAGCTATGCATTTTTCTCAAGATTTTAACTTACAACAATTTCCTATAGGATCCTATAGGAAATCCTATAGGAAAGGTGCCCTATAGGATCCTATAAGATTTCCTATAGGATCCTATAGGATCCTATAGGAATCCTATAGGATCCTATAGGAAATTTTCGTAAGGGCTGGCGTGAGGCTTTAAAAGGGAAAACGTTTTTTTAAATAAATTGGCATGGAATAAATCTATTGGCTACACAATCAAACCTACAAAATGTCTTCCTTACCATATGACCAATGTGCACTTCAACTCCGAAGTCAACTCATTCAAACACGGATTGCCACAGAACAGGTCCTTCAACTTAACCAACACGTGGATTTCCACTTCCACTTTCTAGTAAACAATGCATACGCGCGAATATATTGGTTCAATGACATTTTTTGTATGTGCATACCTCGTCTGATACTCAACATATCTGTCCATGCCAAATAAAATAAATATTTTTTAATTATATTATGCAAACATTCATATTAAGTAAAGTATTCTCCATTATTATTAAGAATTAATTATGAACACTCTCTGAACTTTCCTATTGCAAAATAAACCGCTTCCGGAAGGCACGTTTTTGCGAGGATTCGACTAACGTTCGAGCGTAGGCGTGTAGAATTTTTTTGTTCTGTTCTTAATATATCTGCAAGGTGAGGATTAATGCTCAGTGTCTTTACACGCTACTTCACTTAAAAATAACAGTTTTTTAATTAGACTACCCGTGCGTCCATGAATAAGTTAGACCGACGGCCAGGCCATAACAGTAAAAAGGCGTAGTGCTGGAGTCGGTGTGACTGAATTGCGCAATACATTGCAATACAGCGCATTACACTTGAAAAAACAACATCAGTTGCAATCACACAAAAGAAACAACCATTTCCAACAAATTAGGGTGATATAAAGCAAACTACATTACTATTTAAGTAATATCTTAGTAAAACTTAACAAATCGGTGAGACTTTTACATTGTCGGGTCAGCAGCCATATTGGTGAGTAGCTCTTCTTGGATATATTACTGGCCATGCAAGATGGCCAACACGGCAGCTGACCCAACATTGAAAAAATTGTGTCAATCTCTTGCGGTGTATCAGCAATATTCATTGCTTACTGATATATTTTGAGTTCATATCAACTTATTTTGTTTGAACTCACCCTTTCCAGTGTTTACTTAGTAATTAATATTGCTGATATAACTTGACAATTTTTTCATTGTTTGGTCAGCCGCCATGTTGGCGAGTAGCTCTTCTTGGCCAGTAATATATCCAAGAAGAGCCACTCGCCAACATGGCTGCCAACCAGACAATATAAAAGTCTTGCTGATTTGTTAAGTTATATCAACAATATTACTTACCTAGTAATATAGGTTGTTTTTATATCACCCTACTTTGCTGGGAATGGTCATTTCTTTTGTGTAATTGCAATTGGATTTGATTTTTGAAGTGTATTGCGCTGTGTTGCGCTGTATTGCAGTGTATTGCGCATTTCAGTCACACCGCTACTGAGTAGAAGCTGTGTCACTAAACGGCCGTCACTTAATACCCAAATGGCACGAAATGATACAAAATTACAAAATTGAAAAGACAACCCTATGTTATTCTAGGCATCTAAATAACTCTTTTCAAATTTTGCAACCAAAATTAAAGTTGCCTTGAACCAGGGAATTATTATTATATCTGATATAATTCCCTGCTTGAACCCAACACAATGTTTCTCTACGGCTCAAGGTCTGTACAGCAGAAATATTTTTGCAACTGTGACCAGGGGTGAGAAACAGCCATTGTTCTTTGCCATGGAAATTTGAAGGGAATGTACATAAAAAAACGTGTATTGTGGGATTGTTACTAATGAAACTATAAGAATAAATGTCACATCTCCCTATCTAGGCATATCAGAAAAAATTCAGACTGATCAGAAAAATATGAAATTTATATCTCCTGCAGGGGCAGATCCAGAAATATTTTCTGACAGTCTTCCAAATTATCTTCGTTGATCCTCTATTTTTGACCATCTTCTGACAAAAAAAATAGATACCTGTCAATGTAAACTTGAAATTCTGAACGTCTTCCAGAAGACCCAGGATACGGCCTAAATCTGCCCCTGTCCTGAAAGGTAATGCAAAACAGATTGCAATTCTTTTTTAAAATATTCCTACAAGCAATGAAGATATTGAAGTTTTTTAACTGCTATATTACACCCGAAGTGTCCTCTCTTTTCAGGGAAAAACCTGTGACCACTGACCAGTGCATCATATTAACTATACTTCGCATCGTTCAATTTTCATGGGTTTTTTCCATTAGATATTTAAATTACACGGTGCTGAAAGAGAGATTTGAAGGGGATGACATACATGACCTGAGAACAGGTTGGTCAAAGCTTTGCCAGCACTGCAGTTGGACAATGGCTACTGTGGCACCCCTGGTGCATTGTGATATACCTAGGACAGTACATGCACTTTGATGATGAGTAGTCAGATGTCCAAAACAAAAGACCCAGGTTAAATAGATCATTCACTGTTCATGTGCGCTGCAGGGGACAGGCACAACTTGCCCATGGAGTTCACAGACTAGCATCCGCTATTATAATCTATGGCTTTCCCAATCATATATTCCCAATCATGTTCCAAAATGAACACCCACGTCTGTCGTAACTCAAGAGCTGCAAAAATATTTACCCCCTACAGAAAAACATTTATTGAGTTCAAGATAAATGTATTTGGGGTGCAGAATCCAAATAGCAAGTTATTTTAATGTTAAAAGCAACACTGAGTTGTCATTTTGAGTCATTTCATTCTTTGGTGTCACCAGTACAGAAGTAATTTATCAGATCATTACGCAAAGTTCATTTTGCTTGACAATAATTGTTATATTTTAGCTTGATGATGAAGACAAGGTAACCACTCTGTTGACCATATGGTACTTTTGAAATATCCCCCCACGGGCCACCCTGTAATTTTTATTTTAAAAATTCAAGTTTTTAATTCTTATCAAAGCTAAATTATGTGGTGACTATGATCAGTGTGTCTGTTATTCAAATAAAGTAGTTTGAAAATTTACTAACTTATTTTCTCATCTTTTTTTTTAAAAAAAACCTTCAAGTTATATCACCAATGAGATTAAACAAATTTTTACCCCAGCGATAACCTCAACTCTCCTAATATTTGGTAGGCATAAAGTTTTATGTAAAAAACATTTTAAATTAGTTGATGAACTGCCAAACTAATTTATTAATTTTTCAAAGTCACCACAGAAGAGAAGATATTGAATATCACTAAGCTATATAGTGGTGGTGGTGGGGGGGTATACTGCAAAAGTGCCGACCAATTTGCATATTTTCAAGTAAAATTTACAAAATGTATAAAAGCCTTAAAAGGTTGATAGTTTGTTTTCTCATTTCAGTTTTAATAAGATGCTGAAAACTTTCACTAGTAAAGTTGGATATTTTAGTTCAGTGGCGTTACAGTGCAGATTTGTGAACACCCCTACAAGGTATGGCAGGTTACTTGAGAGACATTCCACAAATTTTGGTATTGATTTCCAATCAAGAGCCTTGTTGTGCCCAAATCGGAAACTGTTCTCAAGAACTTTAACAACTGCGCCGAAGGACCGGACAAATGCCCAGCAATGCAACCATTTCTGTTCGTCTCAACCAGCAAACAAGGACTTGTTGCAGGGACCTGTTGTTTATGAAGGCAACCTCAATGCATTTGTTAGGGGTGTTAAAGTGTTCTCCCTAAGCACCAGCTGTATCACTCTTTCACTTCAACCATTTATTCTCATGAGAGCAAGTGAATTGCCAGTTTCATTGCTTGTTGGTGGGGAAGTTTTTGCAGCATTGTTCTTTTTGACACCAGTTTTAATTCACTGGGCAACCAAAGGATATATTTTTAAACTGCATTTTAATGAGGATAAAAAACTTTTTACAGCAGTTCACAAGTCATTTTTCATGAGAGAAAAGAAAACTCAGTTTAAGGCAGAAGAAATGGCAATTCCAGATGTACCTGGACCTTTTTCTACAGTCAAAATTAAGGATAAAAACTATTTTATTATCTTAGAAAATGATGCATTTGATGATCAAAAGGCTTTTATGCATCTGATGCAGTATGATAAGCCATTTAAAATGCCCTCGGAACAAGAATCTGGAAAAAATTAAGGATGATAATGCCATTGCCTATTTGGCTATTGCTGTTAACTTTTTGAAATGATGTCCAATAAGTGCTCAACACTAGCTTCTGACTAATATTAGTAAACACACTAATGACTTGAAACATGGTCACTATTTAAGGTATTTGAAGCAGTCTTTACTACAGTTGTCATTTATCGATGATTCATCAGTCTAAAAAAATCTATATAACAGGCCCATCTTTATGACAGGAGTACTGATAGAATGTTCTTCATGCATAATGATAATAAACAAAGCCAAATATTATTTTTGTTTTATTATTTGTTGTTATACTTGAGGTTTCTAAATAAAAAAAGTTAACTATATTTATGAAGCCTTGTGTACATTTCCTTTTTTAAAACTTAAAAAGCTTGAAAATGCTGCTGCAGGCACAAACGGGTGTTCTGGTATGCACATGATGATATGTTAAATCACAACTTCATACTGTTACAACAGAACTTCTTACTGAGTAATGAAAAATTGGCACTTTGAAAGACCATATCTGTTGCCATTTTCTCTTAACAACTCCCAACCATGTATTCAAAGTTCAGGTTTGATAATTGTTGTCTGTTTATTTGTGGCCGATTTACAGCAGTTTAATGATAGTGTTCCCTAGTGCATTCTTTTTCAGTATCTGGGAGGAGCACTTTAATAAGATTGTCACTTTGGTGTGAAATATAGTCCTATTGAGAAGGCCGTGGGTATTATTAGGACACATAAATGAATATCAGATCAGACCGATATTTGGAAATCAATGCTATCACTTTAAATTGATTGTTCTAGTTTGCTTGAAGTCTGTGCAGCTGTGATTGCATTGTTTTATCATTAACTATAGTCCTTAGCCACATAAAATGACTGCTGTTCCCCATGTTGATTGTAAAATTGTCAATACACTAAATTCTTGTGATTGTGTTGTGTAATTTTTTTCCATCTCATGTTGAAGACTGTCCACTACAGATCATCATCACTTGAGAACTCCATAAGATCTGTTTGATCTTTCTTTTCACGAATTTCACCTCTCAAGGCATCCAGTTCCTCAAGTTCAAGCTAGAATGAGAAAGGATAATAGCTGACTGAAATTACTTTTTTGTGCTCATTGAAACAGGCCAAATAAAGTATTTCAATCTATGCAGTCATTAAAGAGAAAATGTTATAAATATGTCACCATTTTACAGAATATTTGGGCCTGCTTCCTTATACGTTTCCAGACTCGATGTATATAAAATTTCTTTCAATGAGATACAATATTTTTTAGATCTAAAATGGAATGTTGGTTATGTTAATATGAATCTTTACATGATATTCAAAATTCTCAAACTAACTGACCTGAACTTGTGGAAGATGGAAAGCTCTTCTTTGCTTGACAAATTTCATAGGGAATGGATTCAATTCTGTGAATGCTATCTGCAAAGGACAAAAACTACCAGATTGAAAGTTACATTTATTCAATATACAGTTGAATACGGTAAATATTCCAAATTTAAAAAAAAAAAAAAATAGTAATGAACATTACATATATTCTTGGAAGTTTTAGTCTCATCAATCCATCCAGTATATCAGAATATCCTTACCTGGGATAATCTCCCAACGTCAAAAATTTTTTCACCCAAAGTCCTCAAATAATTATTTAAAGAAATCATATCCCTTTGCTTCAAAATGTCTTCTTCTTTAAACTTGAGAAAAGCCAGACAGAAGCGGAACAGCACCTAAAGCAAAATAAAATTGATATAATTAGATTTTAAACACAATAGAACATAACAACGGAGAAACAAAGAATCACGTTGCAACATGTCCATTACAAAGAAAAACATGCTAACTGCTGCTGAATTAAAATCATTATCTTAGCATAGATATCAAAATATACTGTACAACATGGTTACGTTTCTTTTAAAATACAAACCTTGTTTCCCTCTAATAGAAAACTGTCCCATATCCTCAGGGTGGTTTCTGGGGGAACATTGTCAACAAAAAGGGTCAAAAACCAATTAAATGTGAATAAGGAAATGTCAAGCTCATTTTTTTCAAAGTGTGCATTGATTCTGGGGAGTTTTTCTGCTATCAAATCCTTAACAACCCTCTGAAAGAAAAACAAAAAATAATAGCATACACTTGAAAAAGAAAATTAATCTGCTAAACTGAGTATTCAAGACACAGTTATTAGGTTATGAACTATCAAATGACATAAAGAAAATAACATAATCATTAAAACTGTCAAAATGCAACCTGCTACCAATATCATATCATAGTGAAAAATTAAAATAGTAGTTTATTTATTGTTATAGATTGTTCAAATTGGAATTCTTACTTGATCAGCCTGTGCTGCCATCATAGTTTTTCCAAAATAATCTGGAGGCATGATATAATCCATAATCCCAACTAAACACCAAAATGCCTCTTCCTCTGGAAGAAAGAGCATGGCCCATGCTGCCAGTCTGTTCATACCCTGTAAATAGAAAGATCAGTATGAGTTCAAAACTCAAAATATCCAAAATTTCATCTGGCGAGGTTCAGTTGAAGGGTTACAAATATGACTTGCATTTTCACTTTACATGCTGTAAATAAATGGGTTTGGCAAGCTGAAATTCGAGACTAGTTTCAAGCAATCACTGAAACTCAGGATACACATGAATTTGCTAGGTAGTAGGTAACTAGTAGGTAACATGCTTTGGGTATCAGAATATCTCTAAAGAAAAGGGGATAATTTAGGACAATGAAACTCCCATATATTGTCCCTGAATCTTTTATAAATCATATATTAATATAAAAGGACATACACCTGAAAATCCGAACCCACAAAACAAATGCATACTAACCTGGCAATATCCAACACATGGGTTGTGTCTACTGTAAGCAAGAAGTACACGACGTAGCTTGGGAATGCCGTCAGAATTTAGGCTCTCATAATGCTTGTTGTTTGGTAATGTTCTGAGGAGATCTAATTCAATCTAAAGTAAAGATATAAAAAAACATGTCTGTTTTAGTTTTTGTAATACAACAAACAGTTGTTACACACAATATGTCATATGAATTTATATATCTACAACAAATGAAGACATCTTAAGTGAACACAGTTCCAGTTATTTACAGTTAGTTATTTTATATTACTAAAATAAGTCTTAGACCCCATTCCCATTCCCATACCTAGATTCATCTAGCAGGGATCAAAACATCTCCGAGAGGATTCTCCCTAAATTGCCTTGGATGTCTGGCATGCCTACTGAAGCTGCTAAATGATATTTAATAACCCTCTAACAGCTTCAGTAGGCTTGACAGACATCACAGCTGCTTAAGCTGAATGCAATTAACCAAAAAAACCTTAAGATGGGTTGATCCTGCTAGATTGAATTAGGTATGGGAACGGGTCTAAGTAAAGTGAAATTACAGAATTAGCATCCTTTTAGCAGAATTTTACTAGATAATTTACACTATAATGAAAATCAAAATTCAGTTTTGATGAAATGTACAAACACATTGGAATTTTAATTACCTGTTTAGCAGCAGGATTTGCCCTATTGTTACTAGTTTTCACTTTAGAAGAGAGAAGATTTTGGTAGTATCCACAGCCCAGTCTGTCTCTCAGTTTGCTGATTCTAAAACCTATGCAGCTGAAATGAGAAAGTAAATAACTTATTAGAAAAACATGAAAGAATCACAAATGATGGTTACCTATCTGGAAACTGATATTCAGAGAATTATATTTGAAGAACTGTAGTGGAATCTCTAATGACTGTTGATGGGAAATATAAAATTATTGGCAAACAAATCACATGAATTTAAACTTTTAAAAGAATATCTGTTTAAGTCAATAATCTTCATCAAATAATCTATATTATATCCAGTACTCTTAATTCCAATGGTATAAAACACTACCCATGTCCACATAAAATTTTCCAAAATCCTTACATTCTCCAAACTTTCTCTCTGAACTGTGGTGGTATTCCTCCTCTAACCAATGACTTCAGTTCTGAGGCACGACGAGGGTCTCTGGATTTCTCTAAAGCAACCACAAAGTTCTCCCATTTTACATTCTTGGAGATGTGATTTTCTTCTTCCTAAAAGGCAAATTATGTTTAATCTCAATCCCCCAAGAGAACCATGTTATGACACAATTAACAACATATCAATATGCAAAGAATAAAAAGATTATAATGCATCAAATATATACCATCCAAGATGTGTATTTCAATAATAAAAATGTCCAATACTGCTTTCCAATATCAAAATTTTTGCATCTAGCAAAACTTACATTTTCCTCATGAAAAAAATGGCAAAATAAAATATTCCAAGGCTACAATGAATTCAATGTAAAAACCAAACTGTCCCATTTTCATCTTATAAGACTCATACTTGCCTTTGCCTTGTCAGCCAGCTGGTCTGATTTCTGTTGTAACAGTTTGGCATGACTGACCAAAAAGTCTTCCTCATCTACCTGAGACAGTGGCTGTTTGTAGAAACCAAATCTATCACAGTCTGAATGGTAGCTATGATAATAATGAAAATGAAGACTATTATTTGTCAGTCATAATTCCTCCTTTTTGTAAGGTAGGTGTTAGCAGTAAATAGCAGAAAAAAGATTTTTCTCAAATACTTAATTGAAAATAAAAATTAACTTGAAATGAGTTTTTGCATATTCACCACATGCAGCTGCACCTGAACTTTTTGCTGTACATACTTTCCTGATGCAGTATAAGATCTCTCTACTCGCTCCACCACTTCTGACTCCATGGCATCCTCCAGTAGTCTATTTACTAGTTCTTGACTCTGATCTTCATCTGAAATATGTCAAATTATGACATAAGCTTTCCATGAAGCTTGGATCCTTGGTACATGTAAATGACATACGTTATTAGGGCACAAGACAAACTGCATGAATCGATTTAAAAAATGAAGGCACTGTTTAAAATTATTTACTCTCTCTCTCTCTCTCTCTCTCTCTCTGTGTGTGTGTGTGTGTGCGCGTGCGCGCATACATGCCTGTGTGTTATATTTAACTAGAGGATCAGAGAGGCGATACCGCCTCCGAATATTGTACCACCAGCTGGAGCAAGCGCATTCGTATAAACCCCCACATATACAAAATAAGGAACACAGCCACCAGTCTTGTGCTTGACAAGCTGTAAAAATGCAATCAACAAGAATTTTCAAAATATGCAAAAAATATATATATTACTAAAAATGGTACAATCAAAGTTAAGTTCATCGTAAGGTAGGTCAAAGGTCAATTCCAAGGTCACAGTAAATTTCCAGTATATGACTTCCTATTCAACTTCAATAGTAACTATGGGCCTATCTCTGCCAGGTTTGGAGTTAAAAGAGAAAGAAATTAGCAGAGTTCAGTTCATGATAATAAGTAGGTCAAAGGTCAATTTCAAGGTCACACT